CTTCTGTTCATCTGGTTGTTGCATCTGGATTCAAACTTGGGTCTGTATTTCAACAGCTCATGGATGATGGATGTAGCAGGCGAGCTAGGTCCATCATTTTTTTTTTTGAAACAAAGGCGGACACATCAGGTTTTCAGTTCTGAAAGGCCAAAAACACAGTAAATGGCGAGTCGAACACAGCGTGAGTTTGAAATGTGCAAAAAAAACCATGGTTGCCCCGGACCCGGGACTCGGACACCGGGCCCGGAACCACGTCTGGATTCATCCGGACGTCCGGTAATCCGGACACCAATCCGCACAGACGGACATACGGACCCAGATGGTCCGGTTATGATTGAACATGTCCAGATGTCCGGATAATAAATAAATAAAGAAATAAATTAATTAAAAAAAAAAAAAACAGACACACGCTTCTGTAGTTGTATTATCTGACTTATCTTGAACACACTCACACACACACACGCACACATGTACACACACAGACACACACACGTACACACACGTACACACACACACGTACACACACACACACACACACACACACACACACAACCAGTTCTCCTTGGCCCACTGAAGCTCACCCAAGATTGCTTAACGGTTCACCAAAAACACCCCATCACAAGCCACCAGAACGCCCACGAAACAATTTTTTGTTGTCTTTACAGAATGCTGGCATTGTAGGTGGCCGTGGGATACTTACATAGCAGGGCAAAATCACAGCAAGACATTTCGGCCTCAGCTCTGGGCGCGATGAGCGTCAGATGCATCCGAAATCAGGGTCAGATACATTTAGAAAAATGCTTGTGTGAGTTTGCCCGCAGGGTTTAGGAAGGGGATGGAAACTGGCGTTGACTGGTCAGACGGGTGACTCCCCCCCCCCCGGCCTCTCCTCTTTTTTCGTTTCTCTTTCCCCTCCCTCCTCCTCCTCTCCCTTTCTTTTTCCNTGAATAATTAAGGGCCTCAAAAGATTTAGGGGAAAGGGTTTAGGGGCCTGCAAGAGTTTGGTGGTATAGCTTCAGGGGATTACAGACTGATGGCCCCATTGCTGGACTGTGGAGGCATCTTTTTCTTTTTTAAAGCTATGTTCTTCTCTCAATTTCACCTCACACTACCTACCTACCACTACTCCTAATTGTAGGCATACGGGGAACCCCGTAGCAGCCAGAACCGTGTTCAGAGGAGCCCAGTGCCCAAGGCTATATAATATATATCAACCACATTATAACGAATTGGTCGAGATAGCAGGGGGCAACATGCCCCAAACGGAGTCAAACCTTCACCCTCAGGCAGAGCCGCGCCCCTGTAGTCAACCAAAGAGAAACTAGACAAAATCGAACTCCATAAAAAAATTCCAAAAATTACAGAAAAAAAGTTGAAAAACGAAATCTAATTTACCCTTACCTACCAAGGCAAAAAGTTTCGACGAGAAAACTGTCGAAAAACCATCTGGACACACTCAAATATAGTTTTTTTTTTTTTTTTTTTTTTTTTCCCCTTCTAGTGCGCCGTTCTGGTTATGGGTGTGATAGATCGACGGCTGAAATTTTCCTGCACCAAGTTAAGAAGGCCAGGAGTAGTAGTACCTCCTGAACCCGGCCGTGATTTGGGCCAGATTCAGGGCTGCCGTGGCCCCTCATGCCTGCAAGGGCCAAGGCCGAGGTGTCTCGGCCGCATCCAACATTGCATTTTTCCGAAACCTAAGTGACTAGACTGCGTTTTTTTTTTTTTTTTTTTTTTTTTTTTTTGGGAAATAGACTGCATTTTGGTCGGACAGGGTGACGTCCCTGCAAACACTTGTTGCTATTGAAATTTCAAATTTAAATAGAAAGTGGTTTTTTTAATATCGTGTGGTCCGATGGACCACGGATCAGATATTAACCTGATCAGAACAGATACTACACTTGATCTTAGCCAAAAGGTCGAGAAAGGTATATTGAAAGTTGTTTTTTTCAGTCGTTACGGTAAGAAGCAATACAGTGGGACTATCAGCCCCATGTTTTGTAACTTGTCATGATTATATTATAGGTTTTTAACTTTTTATTCATTTTGTAATAATTATTATGTTGGAAAATAGGGCTTCGCTGCACTACTCTCGACACCCACAAAAGACAAAAACCATGGCCGTGTATCTTCCATATTCTAGCGGAAGATTCACTCTCGTTTTGCACATTTCGAGAGTAGTGCAGCGAGGCCCATAGTAACGGCCTGGCAGGATGGGCTGGCCTTAAATGGTGGAGCTGCACATCGATGGCCAGAATGCTTCATTTCAGCCTGACAGGCTCTGACAGGATCTGACAGGGTCTGACAGGGTCTGACAATGTTATCTGGAATACGCATTCTGGTCAGACGAGAGTGCTTCGAGCCTAGCCGTCCAGTCATGCTACTGTTGCTACAGATTTCATCGATTTGTTTTGTTTTTGGCCTTTTAAGAAAATTCCATCGAGTATTTCGTGGAATGCCTGACTGACCGTCATGCCTCTCCGAGGCCATAGACGGTCGTTTCGTAGATACCGTAGTGCTCCCTTGAAAAGAAATGAAGCAGACTCGGTTAGTAGGAGAATGATTACCATAATTTTAATTTCTTTTACAGACTCAGACTGCCAATGGAAGGGAAAGCGGAAGCGGAAGGTGGAGGTGAAAATAAGATGCAGGGTGGAGAATGGTCTTCCAAGAATGCTGGCCAATGCATATATGATGACATGATTCCCACAGGCCACACAACTACTATAAACAAAGGAAAGAATGAAGCTTTCAGTTTTTTTTGTCAATGATTCGCCGACATTATTATATGATGTCGGAGGAAGATTTCATTGTCTTATGGTTAATAAGCAGGAAGCTGGTTTTAGTAGAGAGAGAGAGAGAGAGAGAGAGAGAGAGAGAGAGAGAGAGAGAGGGGCGGCCCACTGGTCCCACATCTGGCTCATGTAGTGTACACCGCTGGTTGAGGGCAATCATAGCCAGTGGGGCCCAGTCTGTCAGGCTCAGATAAGTAGTTCATTCCAGCGGCTGGTTGGGAGAAGAAACAAAACTGCCTGCCAACATGTATTCTTTTGGCCATAAATCACCCACAAAAAGAAAAAGGAACAAAAACAAAGCCTCAATTAGTTCAATTTTTAGTAATTTACGACTTGACATTGTACACATGTCGACCATGTCGTGCAATTTTCCCTTCATGTTGCCGCAGTCTCGGCAGGAAACTGAGGAAAGGAACCAAACTGATAGGCTAAGGTTACTACAATGGATGAAACAGTGACGATGGAAAGAGGTCGCTAAGTGAAACCCAAAACAAACAGGAGAAAAAAAAAAAAAAAAAAAACCTTGAAAAAGAGAAGGGGGAAAAAAAAAAAATCTTCAAAAAAACTAGGCTACCAGAGTGGCCCGGCCTGGGCAAGAAAAAATTTAAAAAATACAAATTTTAAAATTATTTATTATTTTATTTTTATTAGAATTTCGATGTGACCCTGAGGCAAACGTTGCTCAGTTTGTTTTTCTGAATAACGTAGTTTTTTTTTCGGATTTTTTGGATTTCGTTGTGTTTTTTTTTTTTTTCGCTGGTGACCTTCTCTGGTCCTTGCACGGCCAGGCCGCCCGGGAAAACAGGGTGACCCGGGCGGCCCGGCTGGTAGCCTAGTCAAAAAGCAAAAAAAGGAAACATATTTAAGTGATGATTTCACCCAAATTTCCCGCCTTTTTTTCTTGATCTTTTTTTTAGCTGAAGAAAGAAGGTTGTGCAAGTTCCTGAGCGGTCGCCATGGAAAGGTAGGTGTGCAGTTTGCTTCTTCGTGGCCGTCTCATCTCCAATTTCCGGCATTGTTGTCTGTTTTTCCAACTTGAATTTTTCAACAAAACCTATCATGATTTTGGTGCTGAACTCTTTCTAATCTAAGACTAGGAAAAGAATGTAAGTACAGCCCAAGCCCCAAGGCAGTTAGCCTGAGGTAGGGAGATATCATAGATAAAAGTCCGTAGGATAGATCCCTGCAGGTCCTGACACTGCCAAACATAAGTACTAAGAACATCTTTTAATTTCTTATCTTTATTATCTTCATCAATTAATCTCCGATTGGGGCCTCGTTGACTCAAACTAAGCTGGACAGATCCTTGTAATTAAATATCAAGGGGGTTAAGTCACTGGAAAATTCAGGCCTTTCCAAGGTTAGATCTGTGGTCGCTAAAAAAAAAAAAGACAGAGAGAGACTCTGAGAGAGAGAGAGAGAGAGAGAGAGAGAGTCCTATGAAGCTTGGATCTGGGCCAGCCTCATAGCTAAGCGTGCTGATCTCTTCCCCCTGATTCCTGAACACGAGCCACACCTGCATCATGGCTTCATCAGAAGAGGGTGCATTGTATTGGGGGGGGAAAGTTCAGCCACTAGCCTAGAGAGAGAGAGAGAGAGAGAGAGAGAGAGAGAGAGAGAGAGAGAGTGTGTTACATGCTGCGCCTGCAACAGGCTGCACGGGCCAGGCCCCGTGACGTTTTCAGGCCAAAAGCCTGAAAACAAGGGCTTACAGGTCCTGTGTCGTTTCAGCCTGAAAGCCTGAAAACAAGGGCCTACAGGCCCTGTGTCGTTTCAGGGTAAATCAGGGCCTTTCCGGCCCTGAGTGTTTTCAGCCTGAAACTGAGGGCCATTTCCGGGCCCTCATGAGTTCGGCCTGCCCCGAAACTCAGGCACCAGACCAGGGTTTTCGCTCAGGCCATTTCTGGCCTATTTTCAAGACAACCTTTATTTGAGCTTCAACCCCAGGGTCTGGCACGTTGAGGCATTGGCAAGAGCAGCCTCCCGGACGGGCCAGCGCTATATAGGACTGGCCCGCCCTGCAGGCCGGTAGGTAGTTCGTAGGTACTTCCCAGGCACTTCACGTGCAGTTCAGGAGGCAGGAGGTAGTCTTCAGGATTCGGCAGCAGCACTCTGGAGGAGCGCTGCAGGAGTAGTAGTAGCGAGAGCAGTAGTCTTCAGCGCTGGGCTCTAGTAGCGTTAGCTGTAGTCTTCAGCACTGGGCGCCATAGCTAGAGTAGTACTATAGGGAGAGAGATTGGGCGGAGGCCAGAGGGACTTACCTGCAGCGCCATCGCTCCAGATTCGTCTTCAAGGTACCTGCAGCACAGCGCCACCTTCACAGGTTAGTACCTGGCATATGAGAGAGAGAGAGTTCTTCTTCTTCCTCTTCTCAGTCCACCATCTCCCTCTCACCCTCTCGATATCTGACTTCACTGCATCAACAGACTATGAGTCTCAGAGAGAGAGAGAGAGAGAGAGAGAGAGAGAGAGACTCTGAGAGAGAGAGAGAGAGAGAGAGCTTGGTGACATTTGGATCCAGACTCGACATTGGACTTCAGACATTTTGACGAGGGATTATTTGGGACTTGTAACGACTCTAACTTGGTGTTGACGACTTTCCCATCTCTCCCCTCCTCTTCGTCTGTGCATGGCTGGACCTGGCGCCTCTTCCTGTGTATAGCGCCAGGCCCCTTCACACCTTGTGATGAAAATGATGTATGTTTAGTCTGCATTGCGACATTGATTGGGCTCGTCATTAGTATTCTAGCCTTCTGCTTCGCTATCTTGTACTACATAAAAGAGGTCAGTCCCGGTCAGGTCAGGACTTGTATCTAAGTCTTCCACTGCGCTGTAAAGCACCATTTTGTATGTATCAGAGTGTACACTGCTCGTTGAGATTTCACTTGCACTGCATTGTCCATTCAGTCCTTTTCATCACATTGCGGATCCTTGGTTATTATGTACATCGCCCAACTGGGCATGTAAAAGAGACAGAGAGAGAGAGACTCTGAGAGAGAGAGAGAGAGAGAGAGAGAGAGAGAGAGAGAGAGAGAGAGAGAGAGAGAGNGAGAGAGAGAGAGAGAGAGAGAGAGAGAGAGAGAGAGAGAGAGAGAGAGAGAGAGAGAGAGAGAGAGAGAGATGTGGTTTACTTTATGAGACTAAGTTGTTGCTGTTCAAGCTCGATGTTGAGGTAGAAACTCACATTTTTGCTCTCTTTGATTGCATTGCTGAAGCAGGCATTGTCGTCGTCTGCTATCCTGTGTACAAGATCCTGTCGACCTAGACAACGCTTTTAAGTGGCCCCATCTCCCATGGTTAGCCTTACCTTAATGTGTGTGCCTCCTTATCATGAGCGTATGTGGTGGAGACTCTCTGGGTGGGGTCAGCAGCTCCAGTGGGGCAGAATCCTCCTCGTCTGATTTTGAGTCAGGTTCCACATGCTACTTGGACTCCAGTTTACCTACCCAGAAGAGTTTAGAATCGCAGTCGCAGACTCAGTGTTCAAGCCATACATCAAAAGCATCCCGCGACTTCACACCATTGTCATCACTAGATCCTCGCATCAGCAGCCCCTTCAAGTTGACCGCGGCAAAGTCTGTCTCGGGAGGAGGCGTCATGCCCACACTTAGTGCCCATGAAGGAAGTGGCGGAGGTCCACAACTGTTGATGCCCCCATCACTGCAACAGAGCTTGTCATTGCCTCCGTGCGTGCTACACTCGGCCTCCTTGGAATTCGACGTTCTTGATCAACTATTTGGAAGCAGCAGCTGGGCTGATGCAAGTGCCGGTCCCGGGCGTATGCTGTGGAAGCCCCCCTGCTCTCTGCCCTCCTCAAAGGAAGAGATGTTCTCCAGATCTCGCTCGGATCAAGAGGCTCTTCAGACAGAGGCAGTCGATGAAGGGGATGGTACATTGATGAAGGTTGTGCAAGGATGTGGGGGAGGAGGTGGGGGTAGCATGGGCGGCGGGACCAGCATTGGGTCTCAGACTGGTCTTGCAACAGATGATCAGCTTACAGCTATGCGTGGGACTGTGGGAGGAGGAACCAGCGTCTCAGCCCCATCTGCGACGATGGGGTCCCAAGTGGAACCCTTGTCTCCGGCAGCAGGGAGGCGAGGAAGCGGAAGCCACATGATGTCGGCATCACCCAGGCTCCTGGCACTGCAGAGGTCAGGAAGCATGGCGTCAAGCATACCTGCGTCGCCGTCAACTATCTCGACTACAAGCTGGAGCTCACCGGGCCCATCCTTGAGTGGCAGGACCGGGATGAGTCTTATGGCTACGATGAGCGAGGGAAGAATGGGAGGATCAGCAGCCAGCAGCGTCACATCGAGCAGTGTTGGGCTGTCGGCTCTGGGATCGCAGGAGAGCAGCAACAGTCCTGGTGGCACGGATGTCATCGTTGCAACTCATCCGGTGAGCACAGCACCGATGCCCTTGACAACAACTTCTGGCTGGGGATCGGGCAGCACTCAACCGCACATGTCTGTGCTCTCGTCGATGCCGTCATTGGCGCTGGGAGGGCATCCAAGCCATGTGGCAAGGCCAGCCCAGGCGCCAAAGTGGAAACACCCCCCACCTGGGGCAGTTCGGGACAACTATGTAGGTGCCATCCCAGTGGGAATTGGGGGAACTGTGGGCGCACTTGCAATAGGGAGCACGATTGCAGGTGGCGCATTGCCAGCAATGCCGCACGCAGACTGGGGTGTGGCTGCAGCCATTCCCTTGAGTACAAAACAGATGGACAAGGGAGGGGATGGGCAGGCAAGAGGGAGTTTGCTGGGAAAGAGGGGACGGATGCCAGCAGGGATAGAGGACTTGGAGGCGAAAAGCAGTGAGAAAAGGCTGCTGCCGACAGCCGCTGCAGCTGCATTGCAATCTTCACTCCTAGGTCAGCAGCATATGCTGCCTGCCGCTCTGCAGGCCGCTCCACAGGCCGTCTTCTCAGCAGAGATAGTGCAGCAGGCGCAGCAGCAGCAACGGCATGAACTTGAATCGAAGGTTCTTCAAGGATCGCCATTCACACCAGGTCCTGCACTGCCAAGCCCAGAAGGGCATATTGGTCAGTCCCAGATCCCTATACTGTCAAGTGCGGCAGCAGGCACAATGGCTGGGACATCGCTACCAGGAGCAGGGTTTTTCGAGCAACACATGAAACCTCGTGCTCGTGCCAGAAGGGGTCAGGCAACGGACCCGCACAGCATCGCTGAAAGAGTACGTTCCCAACATCTTATGAGTTCCTCCACGCTTTAAATTTCCCGTGGCTCTAAATAATCTTGTTATTGCTTTTAACTGGTTGGCAATGCATCAAAATTATAGCACCAAGCACAATCCAATCACTAGAATCCCGCTTTTTTAATTTGTCTTTAAATTTATCGTTTACTCCAGCACTACACTCCACTCCAGATGAGTCGGTGAAGCTCCGACGAAACAGTTTGTCACACTGTCAGGCCCTTGTTTGTTGTCCTCCGAGTCTTCTCCCTCTCTGCCTACGGTTTACTGTCGGCAGCTCTGTTTGACGATATATAAACTCCGACGAAACAGTTTGTCACAGCCCCTCGTTTGTTGCAATTGTTGTCCTCTTCTCCCTCTCTCTCTGCCTACGGTTTATTGTCGGCAGCTCTGTTTGATTATCTATCTATATTATATAAAGAGTTGGGGCCACGGGGGGTACGCTGGCATTGATATATGTAGTCAAACAGAGCTGCCTACGGAAAACCGTAGGCAGAGAGGGACAAAAGGGAGAAGAGGACAACAAAGGAGGGGCTGTGACAAACTGTTTCGTCGGAGTTTCAATATATATATAAAAAGAGTTGGGGGCACGGGGGCAAGCTGGCATTGAGGAATTTGAGGTATCATTATCGAACCGACCAGTACTATGTCAGGTTTTGAACTCAGGTCTGTTTATCAGCAGTTAACAGTTACATTGGTGAACTATATTCTGCCACACGGGCTGGGTGGACCCTACTACTATTAGACAGATTTTTCCCAGTAGCTTGAGGTAAACTTTTGCAGTTGTTCGTTTTACTTGGCCACAAATCACGAATTATACTTTATCCTTTCAAGTTTCGAGCCTGTGTTCTCTCAATGAAGTTGATTGATTCAGAAGTAAGCGTTTAAATTTTCTCTCTTACGATAATGATCGGATAATCCCTTCTGAGATAAAAAAAAGCCTGCTACTACCGTAGTCCGAGTCGTGCTGACTGTCGAGATTCATCATGATTCCTGTGTGGGTGATGTTCGCAGATGCGAAGGGAAAAGATTGCAGAGCGCATGAAGTCTCTCCAAGACCTTGTGCCAAATGCCAACAAAGTGCGTACCGATCCCTACTCGGTGCAAAGTACCCCTGCTTGCACCCTTTTTTTTTTAATAGCTTTTTTCCCTTTTTTTTTGTTTCCCCCCCCCGACCCCTGCATACTATGTTGTCTGCTTTATTCAACCCTTTCTTCTTCTTCTTCTTCTTTTTTTTTTTTTTTTTTTTTTTTTGGTATTAGAAGGGCCCTGCTTTATACAACCCTTTCGGATGCAGTCACTCTCACTCTTCTGAAATGGTGGCTGGTTCCAATCTATTCCTGGCGAGCATCACATCCTGGGAGTCAGGCTCAGCCTCCCATCCATACATGAAATGCCAGAAAATTTGAGATACAATCTGGGGATACGCATTGCCCGGCTTTGGCTGAAAACAGCTACTGAAACACCAGGTGTTGATTCTTAGGGGTCCCCTCGGTGGACCTTCGGCCGTAAACCGACCACCAGTACGCCACCAGGACTTCCCATTGCAAGCCGTAAAAGAGCTGCAATGCGCTGTGCCGAACAGGCCTGGAAGCTCTGGTCCAAATTTGCGCCTGGCGGCTCAGGTCCAAATTCATTCAAGTGGAAACGTTGTGCCGAACAGGCCTGGCGGCTCTGGTCCAAATTTGTGCCTGGCGGCCCGGGTCCAAATTCATTCAAGTGGAAACATTGTGCCGAACATTCAAGAGGAAACGTCACGGCTCTATTTTTCCCGGCGGCCTATGTATGGACGAAGTACTGGTGCTTTAAAGCGGGACTACAAGCGCCAAACTTTTCCAAACCACCAGTGGCGCAGATTTTTTCTTTTTTGGCTGTAGCCACCAGCCAATGCCATGTGGTGCGGTAGCCCTGAGCCGGAAAAGTTCGGAGATCATGACAGCCCGCAATTTTCTGCAAGGCTGGGGTCGTGTACTCGCGGTTTAAATGGGAGGTAATACCCATTATATGATTGCACCCCACTGATTGGATTGCAATCTCTGCTGACCTGCAAGTGGAAAAGGACCCAGGCAGATGGTCGTCAAATTGGAAAGGAGCCAAGACCCTGATTCACTGGTTCAAGCGAAGGGAAAAAAAGGAACACAGAGGGAAAAAAAGGAACACAGAGGGAAAAAAAAGGTGCTGAATTTTTGTCTGGACTCCAGAGTTTAGAACCGGGAAAGACATGTGTGGGCCAGATGTTTACAACAGTTACTTTACATAGTTCAATGCAAAGATTTTTTTTTTTTTTTTTTTTCTCCCTAAAAAAAAATGCCACAACTTGAATGTATAGCCGCTCTCACCAGCCCCCCCCCCCGCCCCCCAAATCCCAAAAAAAAAAGGTGGTCTAGGGCCATGGGATACTCAATGTGAATTGGAGGAATCCGTGGCAAAGGAACCCCGGGGCCAAGTCCGAACAAGCAAGCAGCATTGAGTTTTCTCAACACCCGAATCTGTTTGTGGATATGTACAGAAAATCACCATGAGTTTCCTGAACCTGAACGGTTACCGCACCTCTCCACAAAGAGGTCCAGATTCGGGCAAGCTGCTAGTGGGACCAGGCCCCCGTTTGCTAGACTGGAATGAAATCCAATCTGCTTTTCGTTTAGAAGCAGGCATGTGTTGTTAGTCTATGGGCCTCGCTCCACTACTCACCACATGCACAAATGACAAAAAATTTGGCTGTGTATCTCTCCATCTTCTAGGGGAAGATTCATTCTCTTTTTTTTTTTTTTCCTGTGGGGAGATTCATTCTTTTCTTTTTTCTTTTTTTTTTAATAAAGGGCCCCAGTGCCCAAGGCCTTACATTTATCAATCAATAACCCGAGGCCGGGGTCCTCACAGTCCTCACAGTCCATCCGGAACAAAATACAATCTGGGAGCATTACCCAGTTTCGCGACCCCTTGGGACCCGAAACCATAGTTGCACAATTCACAATACGCTACTGTCCTCGGGCCTAATGCGGTCCGAACTATTTTATCCCTTAATATTCCTTAACCGCTGCTAATGTAATTCCGAACTAAATAGAAGGTCAGCCAACCCTACTAAGGGCCTTTCACTCAGTCTCCATCTTTGGGTAACCATGAAGGAAATTGAAACATGCCACCAGATTTATGAAGAACCAGCTGTGCATTCAGACCCCATGTTCTGGAAAACCACCCTTCAGCTCTACAGTTAGGTTTCCCTCGGCTTCATCTCCTCCAGTCCGCAATAATGGTATGTATAATCTCCGCCTTCATTTTATTGACAATAGCCTTCAACGATAGGTGTGCGTTTTTGAAGACCTGATCATTACGATCAACCCAGATGACTCCAAAAATGAGACCTCTAAATTAAATCACCTGCGCAATGTACCGCCACCCCACCGTTGCAGGCATACCACCTGCCAGTGATAGGATTCCTGATAGGACCCAGCTCTCATTCCATGGAAAAATATCTTTAGTGATCTGCTTCCACCATTGTTCCCACCAGATCCATACCCGACTTGAGAGGGGGCATGCGTACCACAAGTGGTTTATGGTTTCCCATGCCCAATTGCAGCGCCCGCAGGTGGTAGAAATCTCCATTCCCTTAGAATGTAACCACATAGCCGACTCTGTAACCAGAAGTGAATGCAGAGTTAAGATACTAGCTTGTTTTTGGGAGGGCAATACCTTAAGTTGTTTCCAAAATGTCGTTAAATCCTTCCTTGCTATAACAGGTAAGGATTGCTCCTCCCTTCTCTTCGTTATTATCTCAGTCGATTGTTTCTTACTCTGCTGAAGACTTAGTTCCACGCCTCTTCTGGTATAATATCCACAGTGACTCAAGCATACCCCTTTGCGGGTCTTCTGATCTATCCAGCCAACCGAGCAGGGATTCAGAGGAATCAGAGCCATGTCCAGCAAGGCTCTCCCCTTAGCCACCAGACTGAGTTTCACCTTTGGGAAGTTAAACTCTCTGTTACAGTAATGTTACCTGCATTTCCACCCAAAGGACCACCTTTCACTTGAACCTATGTTATTACCTGGGTCAGGCTGGGTGGTGTCCTCCAGAGATGGGACTATTCTCTTCTCTTTGAAGCTTAAGTAATCTGGTAAAGGAACTTGGAAGTGGTTGCTGTTTCAGTCCATACCTCCACAGCAAAAGCACCGCCTGCTTCAGGCCACAGCAGGTTGCAGTACGATTCCTGTTGTTGATTCGCAGCTGCTGTCTTGACTGTTGCTGTTGCAGCAGCATTCTCATTTTCCACATTAGGCCAGTTACTGTAGTGGAGCAAGGGCCTATGACAGTGAAACTCCAGACTGAGTTTGTTCCTTTGCACTGTTTCCAGCGATTTGAATGTTATGGATGTTCCCTCTGAAAGACTGAATAAACCGCCGTGTTTTTTTTTTTTTTTTTTTTTTTTTTTCCCCCCCCCGGGGGGGGACTCAGCCCCAAGGATGAGAAGAGCACCCCTAAGGTTGAGCCTTGCACAGTTTGATAGGTAGGAACCTCCAGGGCCAAGTGCCACTTACGCTTTGAGCTAGGTCCTCCCGTGGTAGTTATTGCCATATCTGGGCTGAAAGTTGTGCCAAATACAGCTATAATGACCGGGCGTTCTATTCGGGTGAAGAGGGTAGGCCCTCCTTCAAGTTGGTACTATTTCAACGACCGGCCACACAGGGCGACCTCCGTGATAGATTCAGCAAATCAGCATCCAAAGATCCAAAGATCGTGTGGCTGATAAATCGTTACAGTTGGAAAAGTAAGAAAATCGTAAAATAAAAATGTTAAGATCGAGCAGAGAGGTGCAGAGAGAGGCAGTGGGCCTCGCTGGGCGTTGAGCTAGCTGACTTGTAGTGAATCAGTCAGTCAGCTAGCTCAGCGGTGCTTGTGCCATCATTACCTCCTCGTGGAGAGGCCACTCTGGCAGCCCTGGGGGGACAATGACAGAGAGAGTCTTCATGCTGTCTTTAGCCGTGCAGTCCCAAATTCTTTTCCTCTATTTGGGCTGTGAGTGCACCAAGCCAGCCGTGCTGGCCACGTTCGTTTCACGTTTCTAGTGAGGTCCCTGTCTCCAACTTTGCCTTGTATGAGGAGGTGTTTCAGGGAGGGTTGCTTTATTTCTCTATTAAAGTCTATTTTACTTTTTTTGAAAATTGATATGGGCAAAAGATTTCAGTAGCATTTGGTTCTTCTTTTTTTTTTTTGGTTTGGAAAAATAGCCTAAAATATGTTTCAGCAGCAATTTATTCTCTTTTTTTCATTTGTTTTGCATTTTTAATTAGCAACAATTGTGTCACACCGTTGACCTCGTTCTTAGTTCTACTCAACGGTTTAAGTGGGACGCTCATCTCCTTTGCTTATAGGTGGAATGGCACACAACCGCATTTCTTCACCCGAATACTACCGTCTTCCCCCGAACATAGCGCACCCTGATAATGAATGTATGCAAGCTATCTTTCCGGTCCGGTGCAGCCATAATGAGGGTGCGTTTTGTTCGGGGGACGACGGTAGAACTTCCCGAAGTTCCCGTCATTGTATTGGCTTATCAATGTAATATTTCGAATTTTAGAGTCTAGAGTCTAGACTGAAAGTTGGCCCGAAGACGGTAAAGATAGTGAATGATCCTACAATCTTCCCTCGAACTAAACGCACCCTAAAAATGAATGTATACAAGCTATTTTCCCGGCCAGATGCAGCCAAAATAAGGGTGCGTTGTGTTCGGGGGAAGACGGTAGACTCCCCTGAGTCTACCCTGGAACTCGAGGCGCTGAATGACAATTTGGACAAAAGAGTTGTATACAATGATATCAAGTGTTTGACCGGGCCCAAGTCCCACTAGCAGCGTTGAGCTACCTCGACGCCTGAATCTGGACGTGTTTGTGGAGACGTGCAGTTCAGGAAACTCGACACCATTTCTGCACATCTCCGCAAAAGCGTCCAGATACAGGCGTTGAGGTAGCTCAACGCTGCTAGTGGGACTTGGCCCCCGGTCTCTCAAACGGTGACCAAGTTACCACTAAAGGTTGACTCGACTCTTTTTTTTTTTTTTTTCGTTTTCTTTTTTTGTTCTTTTTCA